GCAGGAAGAGTTGAGGGCCCTATTCTCATGATTAATTACGATCTTGATGGAAAAGGGGTGAGAAACAGGTAGGAACTGCACAGGTGAGAATGATGTTAATACAGAGTGAGATAAAGACATTAATTGGGTAAGTGGTACAAGTTAGTTACTGTGTTGAGTGGTAGGCTTCCATGAACAAGAATGCCTTTAGGGAGCGCTTAAAGGAAGGCAAACTAGGAAAGTCTGACAGAGTGGGGAAGTGCGTTCCAGAGGGTTGATTCTGCATGAGAGAAGTTCTGCAATCACAAATGGGAAAAGGTGATAATAGATAGCAAAACATGGAAGGAGGAGGTCATTGTTAGATCTTAGGGGCATGCTGGGTATATTTGTTGATTAGTGAGGACAGTTAGTGGGGAGCAGAGTCAGTAAGGATTTGTAATCAGAGGGAGAATTTAGAATTTTCTGGGGAGCCAGTGAAAAGACTCACCAAGCGGTACAGCAAATATGGAACAAAGGAAAAAACTTAGCAGAAGCATTTAGGATGGTCTGAAAGGGGGAGAGGCAGGGAAGAGGCAGGAGAGAGGGAGGCCAGTTAGTAGGTTATTGCAGTAGTCAAGATAAGAAATAACAAGGGAGTGGATGAGTTGCCTAGTGGTGTTTGATTAGGACATTTATTGGGTTAGTGGTATGAGTTAGTTACTATGTTGAGTGGTAGACTTCCCTGGGCAAGAATGTCTATAGGGAGTGCTTAAAAGAACGTAAGCTAGAGGAAAGTCTGACAGTGAGGGGAAGTTGGTTCTAGAGGTTTGATGCCGCATAAGAGAAGTTCTGCAATCTCAAATGGTAAAAGGTGATATTAGATAACAGAAGATGCAATGATAAGGTCATTGTTAGATCTTAGGGAGCAGGTTGGAGTATATTTGTTGATTAGTGAAGACAGGTAATGGGGAACAGAGGCAGTAAGGATTTGTAGGTCAGAGGGAGAATTTTGAATTTTTTGGGGAGCCATTGAAGAGACTCAGCAAATATAGAACAAAGGCTAAGACCTAGCAGAAGCATTTAGGATGGTCTGAAAGGGGGGAGAGGCAGAAGAGAGTAAGGCCAGTTAGTAAGTTATTGCAGTAGCCAAGATGAGAAATAACAAGGGAATGGATGAGTTGCTTAGTGGTATTTGCGAAGGTGGTTGGGGCAGCATGAAGAAATCGATTGGATGTAGGGGATGGAGAGATTTGAGTTAAGTGTAACTCAGAGGTAGCAGACTTGGGATGATGGGGATATAGTGGTACCATCAGCAGTGATAGTGAAGCCAGAAATCATAGAAGAGCTAAAGGAGGGAATAACAGGAGTTCAGTCTTGGACATTGACATAATTTTTAGGTGGCAGGAGCGGGTCCAGGTAAAAGAGCCAGATAAGCAGTCACTGACATAAGAAAGGACTAAGGGAGAGAGATAGATTTGAGTGTCATCAGAATAAAGGACATTTGAAGCCTTAGCTTACACAGAGAAGATGTATAAATGCAGAAGAGTGAAGGACCCAAGACAGAGCCTTGAGGTTCTCCAAATAACTTGGACATTGAAGAGAAGCAGCAAATGACACAGAAAAAGACCAGTTAGAGAGATAAGAGTGGATCCAAGAGCAAGCAGTTTTGCAGAAACCCACAGAGCTGAGAGTCTGTTGGAGGAGGGGGTGGTCAGCGGTGTCAAGGGTGGCTGAGCGTTCAAGTAAAATAATAATAGAGTAGTCCAAAACATAATGTAGTAGAGAAGCAGGTAAAGAAAAAATGGTTCTACCGTAATAGATACCTCTGACTATCATGTTCCAATGTAATACTTCATGTTTAATTAAGGACATCTTTTAACTGATAAGATTGAGTCCAGTATTTTTAATCCATATGTGGACCCGACACTGTGGAAGCATTAAGAAAAATATAGTAGTGGTCAGGGCTTTTAGCAGAAAGAAGGTCATTAGTAACCTTGGTGAGGGCAATTTCAGTCCTGTGTTGGGGATGGAAGCCAGACTGTAGGGAATAAAGCAGGGAGTTGGAGAACAGGAAGTGGGTTGACCGATCATAAACTAGATTTTCAAGACGTTTACATGATACATTTGAGGTGGTATTTTTTAGGAGAATTAGTGTCAAGGGAGAGTTTCTTGAGTATGGTGTTCCCTTTGCCTGTTTGATAGTAATTGGGATTGGACTGGTAGAAATGGATAGGTTGAAGATGTTAATAACAGAGAAATGAGGGTGGAAGACAAAAAGGTATCAAATGTGAGGGTATAAAAGAAAGTGGGTAGGTAGTGAGCCACGAAAGAGACAGTAAAGAAGAAACTTAAAGTCAAGAATCGTGTTTAAGCGGAATGATTTAAATTAGACATGTGCACCAGTGAAATTTTTTTTTTTACAAATGATTTCGTACTAAATAAAAATTTAATTCAGCAATCCTAAATTTTGTCCGCAAACCATTCGTTTTCGAATGAAATGCGTTAAAAAAGATTTTTTTTGTTTTTGACCATTAGGATGAAAACAGCACTGCACATGCGCAAAAAAAAAAGCAGGCTCCCGCCTTGTAATAAAAACTATTCCTATCTCCCCTGCATTAAAACCTACGGGGGTCACTATGACCCCCATATTAATAAAAGGTCAATTAAATCCTGCCGTGAGTAGGGGTATGTCACCTAAACAGCGAACAACCAGTGGCTGCTCACTGTCATTTAACACTAAATATAAATCAGTATGGGTGTCACTATGACCCCCATATGGATAGAAGGGAGGTTAAAAGGGAGGTGCTGCGAGTAGGGGCATGTTGCCTAAACAGTGAGCAGCTAGTGGCTTAATAGCATATCAGACAAAAACTGACTGCTGGGTACATTTTGCTTCTTCCAAGACACTTTGTCAGTGACTAAAAAAAGAAAGGAATATAAACAAATGGAAGTATCCTGGCCCCCCCTATAAGACAGTAGAGACCAGAAATATGGTGGTTACTACCTTCCCCTCATGCCGCAGGCAACTAATGCATCACTTATGACTTAGTACATGGGAGCAGACATGGATGATCCTCATGGAACAAAGATCAGAAGATTTAAATCATGGCAAGGGTGATATGATAACTTATCTGCAAGGGCTACATTCAGTACCTCTGCATTTTGCATTGGCACTGTAAATGCTAAAACTCCTCCTAACCTTTTCCCAAACTAAATAGAATTTTAAACCATTGTAAATCAAGGTATGTTGACTGCATTCTAGCAGCTTGAGATGGATGATTGAGGGTTTTGGGGACACTGTTGCAAATGCAAATTCTAATTCCCTGAATAGCAGAAATATTTATTTTAGCTTGGCAACTGTTTTTTCTTCTCTAAATGTAGACATTACATTTGCATATAAGGACATACAATATAAATTAAAAACCGTGTTTGGAGTCATTAAAAAGACGAATATGGCAAGAAAAAAATAATATTACTCCTCCCCAAGCTAAGCTTACTATCCCAATTATCAAAGAACATCTTCAATGCCGAGTCTAGAAAAGCCTCTTAGACAGGTTGGGGGAGGCAACTCACAGAAAGTAGAGGTGGATAATTAAAAAGTGCTAATTCTATATATATTTGAGATATAATCTAGAAGCTATAAGATTCATGTACAATAACTTGTTATGAATATTAAACATGAACATTGACAGAAGATGCTCCATCATTTTGTCTAAGCTATACATTAATGGATGTATTTTAAATATCTCTCTCTAAATGTGCATTCTGTACTATTATTTTTAAAATATTTTTATATGATGCAAAAGATATAGAAACACAGAATGTTCAGACGAACTTGATGAGTTTACAATCTACACTCTCACCATCCTTCAAAAACATCAGCGGTCGATCATATACAAACACTGAGATTGTAAAACTATTGTAAACTGAAAATATAAACAATTTATTTGTAAACAAAACTCACCCAACTCATAAAATTCATGTAAGTTTGTTTTAGTCTAAATGACTCACTGAAACTTATTTGAAATTGACACTTAAACTTTGCATTTAAACTTTTTAATGCTTTCATTACAATAATTGTTACATTGAGATCTATATATTGATATGACTGTTAGTTGATTTAATATTTTGGAGTGAAACAAATACACTGGAAAATCACTGAAATTTCAACACTATCGAAAATTATTACAAGACAAAGTGAATATTTTGTCAGTTCAACAGCCTTTCATAACTGATTGCTGATTGAGAATAGATGTCTTTTCACATGATGCTAAGCAGATGTCTGTGATATCCCATTATACATATCAGAAAGATCTGTGTAGGATTCCACAATCTTCTGAGATATTTCATAGACCCTGTTCTTTATGTTTCAGGAACTAAAGATCAAAAGCCATTGCTGTGAGTAAGACAGTCGATCTCACTTCCATCTTTCCTCCGAAGTACCACGATTCAAGCATGTCAACTAAAAAAATAAAAAAGTAAAGACTCCACAGTGGATATTACCACTTTAAAGTCTGCTGGCCATGTGATTTTTCATTCATCTACCTATAAAGGCATGGAGGGGCCTGTACCAAAATACATAATACGATTATGGCACTGAAAATGTGTAAGACCATCTCTAAAGTTGCTGGGTAAGTGTTGTTGAAACAACTGATTTAAGTGGACTGTGCTTCTCTGAGACATAATGAAGAATTTACGGGGGATAATTTGAAGACAATGGTTTGATGGATAGTTTAACTCTGCAAATTTCTAACCCCACCTTACCTAAAGAAGGAATTAGCTTTCATTTTCCATAGAATATTGCACAATCATCTCAACTACAAAACAGCTTTCCCTGATTACAAAGTCTCAGAGAGCCCTGCCAAATGCATTTACATTTTCAAATACCTGAACCTACCATCCGATACATCATTGTGTCTCTTTATTTATTGATTGGTTTATTTTTTATTTTATGTTTACGAGCTTGCTGAATGCATTGGCAAAGATTAGGATTTTCAGTCTGACTGGAGCCATTAAAATATCCTGTTTCATTGCTCCACCATGGGAACGATTAACACACCTCCCACATCTGAGCGGGCTCCCATGTACTGCTCTCAAATGTTACATTATATTCAGTAATTGCGCTGTACAATGTTTTGAACCAGAGATAGCAAGCACGGAATATCCTATTGTACAGTAAAATGATATCTTTGCTACAATTAACATCTTTCATGACATTTGAAAAACACAATCCTGTTAACCCCATCTCTACACACATGTATACACATGCTAACTTGCTTACAGTCTAAAGCAATGCAAAATTATGTTTAACCCAAAAAACTCAATTCCATTTTCTCATTGTATTAACACTTGTTTTAACCCTACAGATAAACATGTTTATCTGCCAGGACTCTATTTCATCCCCTTGCCTCTCCTTGAAGGGATTGTAATATTGAGTTTCCTCTTTTTCCCCACATTCTAAAGCAACCTTTGTAGAATCAAACTTCACAGCTGCATTCTAAGAGCCAAGGAGTAGGCTAGGGTGGAAGATTCTAAGCAGTGTTAACTTTGTCGACTAACAATTTTAGTCAAATTTTAGTAGACTAAAATTTTTGAGATTTAGTCGACTAAAACTAGACTAAAACTAAAACAATTTAAATGACTAAAACTAAATTGAAATTTGTTGCCAAAATTAATACTGCACAGAGCGGCTGTGGAAGGGGCAAAAGAGGCAGACCAGGGCTTGGGAGTGACACACCTAGAGGGGCTGGGAGGACACAAAGAGACACAGAGGGGCTGGGGAACGGGAAAAAGAGGCAGATAGAGGCTTTAAATAAACCTATTATACTTTAGTTGTGTCAACTAAAATTTACTGGAGATTAAGGCGACTAAACATAGCAGATAAAACTAAAACAATTCAGATGACTAAAATACAACTAAAACTACTTTCTCGTGGCATTTTTAGAAACCTCCATTCCTAAATATAAATACTATCATGTTCCATTAAAATAGGAATAAGAAAGATATTTCATTATTTTTATTTATATTTTAACCTATAGTATAGTATGTAGGAAGGGGATGCCATGTGATCTATAAACATTTTATCTTTGCAATATTTCTTGTATATAGCACTGAACAGTTAGCTCTGCATGAAATCGCTGTTTTTTATATAGGTTTATGTGCAAGCTTCTTAGTTAAAGGGTTAAATGTGGTTAAAGAAATGTTACAAATGCTTTACCTATCAAAGAATTACTAGGAATTATCATGAAGTTCATTATGGACAATATATAGCTTTAAAAAAATTATATGGGTGAAGCTGCAAAGAAATAAAATGTGTCCGTGGAAATGAATACCAGGGACAATTATGACTGCTGGCTTCTATTTAACATTCTCTTCTTCCCATTGCTTCTCCAGATTAGCTCAAGGGTATAAATGAAAAGAAAAAAAATAACTTCATATGAAAGGGATCAGCTGTTGATATTATTTTTAAGCTCCGCAGAAAGCATTTGCCCCTTGTAATCTTTCCAAATGCTCAATATCTGATCATGAGCACGGGAAACCCATACAGAGATGGAGTGAATTGCAAAGCGTTTGAGTGCAGCTGGTAAAATATTTTTTAGCATCTTACTGCCCATGAAAATAGTATTTCAGTATCATAAAATAATATAACATAATGTAATATCATATCGTATGCATGCTGCGACATATCAGGAACATAAACTGTATCAATCCACTTTTCAGGCATGTTCTGGCCCCAATAGTTGCATTTATTTTATTTTTAGTGTGCTTGTTTCACATTGGATGCAATTGAGGACAAGATGTCTCCAATTGTTGGTGGGTTTGAGAGATACCAGATCCAGATGACCCTTGCTTTGGATTGTGTAATCATGGCGCAGCAAATTACTGGACATCAGAACCAAGAGGAGATTAACCTTGTCGTATAGAGAGTGCTGAAAGGCTCAGCCTAATCCGATACCACCCAAAATATAATTTCTATGACATTTATATCCTTGCAATGAACTTTGTAATAGATTGTACACAGAGTAACTCCCTATCTTCGTATCTGGTATCAACTTGACCAAGTTATAGCTGAGAGGAAGCTTCATCAACATCATCCAGAACTAAATCGTCACACACATTTCCCTTCCATACTGTATGTACCAATAAAACAATAGTGCAGGGGACTGGATGTACACAGATAAAGTTGCGTACAGCTGTGAATGTTTTTATTCAGAGAGGAATATGCAATATATTCGTTTTGGAGTTTGTGCCCAGAATATGGTTCTTTTATTTTGCACTTGAGAGATTTAATAGACAGAAACTGGCTACTGCACAAAAGACAAAGAGGGGTCTTCTTGGAAAAGCCAGCGAGAGAAAATGTTATTAAAGTATTTTTCAATATGTGTTTTTCTTTTCCCTGCATGTACCGTTGATCTCAAAGTATACAAAATATCAGTCCCTACACACCCTATTTCCAGAGCTTGCACAGCATGAAATATTTCACATTTTGTAACATTTTATGAGACTGGTTCTTTTAGCAAACGCTGCCCCGGTAATTCTAAGATTTAAAGGAACATTCAATGCACAATAACAAACTATTCTCTGAGTAGAGGTTATGGTCCTAGCCCCTGTTTGTACAAATCACTGCAACGCTAATCCTACATCCTTCAGTGATGTCATGAGTAGTGCATTTTGTATTTACATTGGCTTCCCATATCATTCAGAATCCAATTCAAACTATATTGCAAAAGTGTTGGCAGAACCCGCACTCAATTCCTGAGCAGCCACCCGGTGCTCCGGAGCAGGACCAGCAATCCCACAACAGCAAAGCAACAGAAGAAATATCTCCAGGCACTCAGGACGTTAAAGCCGCAGGCAGTTTATTGAAACCAAAAAGACAGCAACGTTTCGACCTAACAAGAGGTCTTTGTCAAGCTAACACCACAGAACAGCATAAGTGTATATATAGCATACAGCGTGTATAAAGTCAGCAAATAATTCAATTAAAAATATTAACATAATTAATTAACATAATTGGTTTAAACAACCCATGCAAATTACAACAGGATCCATACATGTAATAAATATAATAATCTGTGACTTACCCCTGTGTATCAAAGGGGGGGAGAAGAAAAAATAAAGAAAAATAAAGTAAAACAAAATAAAAATAAAAGAAGAAATGCCAAGAGTAAACAGAGGACACTTATCCTAAATGCCAATGGAATCACTACCCGGTAGGAGGAACGCAAGGAAGCATTTCCTGGTCCTGGAACGCATAGTGAACGCATGTGCATTTGAGGGAAAAAAGCCGTCTGTATAGTAATAGACAGGCGGCACTAAACATTTGCGCGTGCGTACACACAATAACACAAGAGATAGCACGAAACTAAAGTAATCCAGCACATATGTCTCCAGGAAATCTGCCAAATGAAGACCAATATGTGCACACATAGAGCCAAAGCTAATAAAAAGTCCTATGTATTCTTGCGTACATGTGCACAAACACACAAATAAGTAAAAAAAACAAACACTTATTCTCAAGCGTTCGTCCCGAACAGAAATAACATATGACCAGAAATCAATATATCCTTAATATGTAAACAGCCGAAGGCTGTATAAAAAGGAAGAAGAAGGCTATATAAAAAAGAAAACTATAACAATAAAAATAAAAATAGAAAGAAAATAATAAAACAGAATAAAAATGAAAATAATAATAAAAATAAAATAATAAATATTAAAAATTAAACTAAAAATAAAATTAGAAAAATAAATATAAAAATAAAATTAAAAAATTAAAAATTAAAAAATACAATAGAGATAAAAATAAATATAAAATAAAAATAAAATAATAAAGGATAAAATAAAAAGAGGAAGAACTCCCAACTAGACACACAGAGGTAAACCAGAGAGTGTACAAAAAATATATATCTAAGACATATATCTAAAAATATTCAAAATAATAGAGAATTAAATAACATGTAATTCCATCCAAGTGTTTACTTTAATCATATTGGTTATCACCAAATAAAGGGGACATTCCACTAGACAGATGAGAATTGTCAAAAGATATATAAAAGAGTAATGTAGTCACAATATATGCATATAAGTAACATCCCTGTTATATAGACTATAGAGTGTGTGATACTAGTGTTAATAATACAAATGAGTAAATAGCCTATATCATTTATTAAATACGTGAAAAAAATGTCATAGAAAAATAAAGTGCATGTGCAGTGTACACAATGTACGTTAAACAAAGTGCACATTCTGTACACTGCACATGCAGTATTATTAAATACGTAAAATACATTTCATAGACTAATAAAGTGCATGTGCAGTGTAAACAATGTGTTCACTCTATTCTTTTAAATATTTTTAGATATATGTCTGAGATATATATTTTTTTGGACACTCTCTGATTTCCCTCTGTGTGTCTAGTTAGGAGTTCCCTTTTTTTATTTTATATTTTATTATTATTATCATTATTATTATTTTTTTTTTAAATTCTATTCAGTTTTTTTTTTTTTTTATATTTATTTTTATAATTTTTTGATATTTATTTTTATTATTTTCTTTTTATTATTTTCCTTTTTATTCTGTTTTATTATTTTCTTTTTCTTTTTATTGTTACAGTTTTCTTTTTTATATAGCCTTTTTCTTCCTTTTTATACAGCCTTCGGCTGTTTACATATTAAGGGTATGTTGATTTCTAGTCATATGTACGGAATGTTATTTCTATTCAGTTTATTACTCTGGGACGCATGCACGAGAATAAGTGGAGTTTATATTACTTATTTGTGTGTTCGAAAAGAATACATAGGACTTTTTATTAGCTTTGGCTCAATGTGTGCACATATTGGTCTTCATTTGCAGGCGCAAACTTTTAGTGCCAGCTGTGTATTAGTATACAAACAACTTTTGTTTATCCCTTTCCCTCAAGTGCGCATGCATTGCCACTATGCGTTCCAAGACCAGGAAATGCTTCCTTGCATTCCACCTACACAGTAGTGACTCCATTGGAATTTAGGATAAGTGCCCTCTGTTTACTCTTGGCATTTCTTCTTTTATTTTTATTTTGTTTTACTTAATGTTTCTTTATTTTTATTTTTTCTTCTCCCACCTTTGATACGCAGGGGTAAGTCACAGATTATTATATTTATTACATGTATGGATCCTGTTGTAATTTGCACGGTTTGTTTAAACCACTTATGTTAATTAATTATGGTAATAGTTTAATTGATTTTTTGACTTTGTACACACTGTTTGCTATATATACACTTATGCTGTTCTGTGGTGTTAGCTTGACAAAGACCTCTTGTTAGGTCGAAACGTTGCTGTCTTTTTTGCTTCAATAAACTGCCTGTGGCTTTAACATCCTGAGCGCCTGGAGATATTTCTTCTATTCCATTTAAAAACTAATGACATTTACACTAAAATCCTTTATCAGCTCTACTCCCCATCATATTTTCTCTCTGATCCACAAAATTAAACCTTTCTCATTCCTCCAATTACCTTCTCTTGTTACTTGTTTGATCCACCTCTGCTAATTCTCATCTACAGGGCTTTTCAAGGGCTGCACCTTTTTTATGGAAGGGTCTACCCTGTCCTATTAGACTTGTCCAACTCTCCCGACCTTCGAGAATTTACTAAAAATGCACCTCTTTACAAAAGCTTATAATCTTCCTGGGTAAGTTCTGCTATCCTATGAGTCCTCCCATCCCCCACTCATAAACAATACTTTTATAATCCACTCAACTCTTTCTCTATGTTCATCCTACATTGCCTCCATAAACTATTCTCACTTAATTAACGAAACACTGACATTTCATCCATCATCCTCTAGTCTCCTCCCCTCCAACACATCATCTTCTTCCCTCTCTTATTAGATTGTTAGCTTCTTTGAGCAGCAATTAATTCACCTTTCACTGTTTAGATTCCTCTTATTAGTTCAGGTATCCCTTTGACACATCAGATGCTGGTTAATTATAATAAATAATGTACATGGACATAATATGAAATAGGAGCTATAATGCTACATCTGTTCTGCCCAAAATCTAAACACCTATTGCCCTTTTTTAATTGGATTTTCTACTTGTCCAAACAAAGCGGGAGAGTTGCTGGATAGCCACACGTGGCTTAATGACGCGGAGAAGACATTTATTAGCTCTGTATAAATCTCAAAGTGCAGAGAGAATGATTCATGTATTATTATGATTCCTTTTAACAAAGCATAATAGTGGGTGAGTCATATAATGGTTTAATCTTAGGCACCTCCGGAACTGCCAAGAGGTCAAAATGACACTCAGCGTAACCTGCTGTTTTATTTGCTATGGTGAGTGTATGAGACATGAAAAGCTAATGGGTCATTCTAGAGGCAATTTATCTGCAATTCTGCATTGTTAAAGTTTTTTAGAGCTAAAATTTAATTATAGCAAACATTGGAAAAATCCCTACATGGACAAATCTCCATATTTTCATAAACTGCAATTATCATTCCTCATCGTGTTATCGATCCCAAAACTGAAACAGATCTATACTATCTCCACAATATAAAATCTGTGCAAGAAATACTTTCTGGATGTCTGTCTGTCTATCTATCTATCATTATTATTATTGCCATTTATATAGCGCCAACAGATTCCGTAGCGCTTTACCATAATATAAGAGGGGGGTTTAACTATAAATAGGACAATTACAAGAAAATTTACAGGAACAATAGGTTGAAGAGGACCCTGCTCAAAAGGGATTACATTCTATAGGAGGTGGGGTGTAAAACACATTAAGACAGGAAATATCAATCAAACAAGCTGGTAGTGAAGCACAGCTGGAGGAGAGAGTAGAGTGCTGCCCTTTAGGAGAGAGCAGGAGATAGGTATGTGAGGTAGAGGTTAGTCTGGGAGGCCATAATCTTTCCTAAAGAGATGGGTTTCAAGGCACTTTTTAAACGATTGAAGACAAGGGGAGAGTCTGATGGCAGTAGGCTGGCTATTCCATAGGAAGGGAGCCGCTCGTGAGAAGTCCTGCAAGTGTGAGTTGGACATACAGGTGCGAGCAGAGGACAGGAGAAGGTCATGGGCAAAGCGCAGAGACAGAGAAGGGGCATATCTATGAATCAGGGAAGAAATGTTAGAGGGGCTAGAATTGTTTAGTGCTTTATAGGTATGGGTTAGCACTTTGAATTGACTCCCATAGGATACAGGAAGCCAATGTAAGGACTGACAGAGGAGTGAGGTGTGAGAGGAGCGACAGGAGAGGAAAATAAGTCTGGCAGCAGCATTCATTACTATCTATCTATGTATCTGTCTATCTCTCTCTCTCTCTCTTTGTCTGTTGATCGACTGTCTGTCATCTATATTTTCTCTGATATATGATATCACTGTTGTTTTATAATTGATTAATCTACTTTCATTTATACTTGTAGTAATGTATAATTGCAATCAGCATTATATCAGTAAGAGTGTACGCACCCCCATTCCCACACTCTTTTCAGATAATGCACCCTTGATATTTCCTGGTCCTTGCTCTGGAAGAGGCTTAATTTTCATTTACAAACATTCTATTTCTGACAACAAAGTAAGACAAAACATCTCAGCTGTATAAAGTAAACACTGTGTTTGGATATCAAATGAAACTTCTTTACTGCAAACATGGACCTCACCTTCTTTTTAAAACATTTTCTGATCAATTAAAGTAAGTTCACAGATGTGTTATGTACTGGGAGGCATGATGCATGGTTTAAGGTTAATATTAATATTAGTTGTGGGTTGGCATAGATAAAATAAATAACATTTAGTGATTTCTGATTGCAGTTATGAAGGATATTAACAACCATTTTTGGAATGAGTCTACATATTCATAGTGTGTTTACGGTACAAAGAATCCACTTGTTAGAACTAGCATTGGCATCCAGTTTCTACATTTTGGAAGGCATTGTGGGAGTGTTATGTATGTGATCAAGTCCAAAAATATAACTGATTGAAAACTGCAAAAAAATGTATGATGCCATTGCTAATCTGAAGCTCTATAAATTGATAACAACAAAATGTACTTTTACATCAAAGGTTGAAAATGACCGACAGCCAATACAAGAAGCTGGCATCAAATGCATCTTGGGACAGACGTGTAGCAAAGGAGAGTGAGGTAGTTGTCACCTGGCACTGGGTTATGAGATATTGGGATAGAATTGCGAGGGAGCATTGCAGAATCTATCTCACAAAATGCTCCCTTGTGCTTCTCATATATCTATTCAGTGGCGCACACTTTCCCTGCCCGCTCACACTGTGGAGGATTGAACAGAACGTCTTTTAGTCCTCCTCCCAGTTACGATGAGCTGCATATGAGCCATGAGAGTGGTGCTTTTTTTGTATGGATTGACTGGATTTTGACCGCAATGGCAAATCTCATATTTGCTCAAGCCAAATATGTTCAGAATTCGGTCAGGTCGAGCAAATCGTTAGCAATCGTCTGTATGTATTTGGTGTCCTGATCTGTATTTTCCTGTGATGTTGGTAATAATCGCAACACTCCTATTGTACCTGGGATATTTTTAAATAGTGTGTTAGTTAAAGAAATGGAAAAAAAACTCAAAAAGCTAAAAGAATAAAATCCAAACACCCCCTCACAGAAAACATATTGTCTGTTTAATAATGTTTCTTGTTGTGACGAGGTTTATTTCCTGAGTGAGAGCCAACAGCCATATTGTTTTAATGCTCAGTCTTGTTTATATTTTGGGATACATTCCAATAAAATACATATCTTCCTATTGTTTGACGAGTATATAATTAGTCTGTGGCGGGGTTGATAGGCATATATTGCACCACCAGTTATCTGCAATGATGGCGTCACATGGAGTGTTATAATTAAGCATGACTTCACTAGTTAACAGTACCAAACAAAACAATATTGTTTATAACTTTTTCGAGGTGTTGAGTGACAATTCCACAAAATGTTTGTGAGAGCCATTTAAATACTAACTATATTCTTAACTAAATGAAGCCATGAATTCCTGAGTCACAGTGGATCGAATCCACTCTGGAGAAGGGTGTTAACTGCTTGAGACATTGCCTTTTGGTGTAAAAAGATATGAAGGCCATTTTGTGCCAGCAGACAAGTCCAAACCACTTAACTGTAGTCATTTTTTACATTTCTTTTTAAATTTATTTCCTATTAAATTACAAGTGGGTGTGGGTTGTTTTATCGTGGAAAAGACAATGTAATACAACAATGAATTAATAAAACAGCTATGTGTTACTTCATCTAATAAGAAGCAGTTAACAACAATTTTTATAAAAATACAAAATGTACAGACAGCCTCTTTTTCCCCTCATGTATCTCTAATTTTATGTTGTAAGCTCTTTTCATGTCAACAAATGAACACTAGACTCGTTTTTTTCCTACAGATATATAGAATCTGAAATCAAAGGAGCTTGGAGTAGATACAGGACTGTGGTGTGATGAAGGCAGAAACAATCAAGAACAAAATGGAATTTAAATGATAATTATTTACAAAGTAAAAAAAATGGCAAACAAATTTTGCACCAGGGCAATTATAGAAGAGGATTAGTCAACACATTTATGTCAGAAATAAACAATGTTTCTGTAGAATTTTGAACAACCCGCAAATTAGCCTTGAGGGCACTGAAGGACCTTATCGAATATCACTATCTTTATTTTACAATTCATACTTTAAATATGAGACATTAGTAAGGGATCGTTAGGACTGAGCAGGCAGCTTCAATGGAATACAACACAGTAAACCCATATTGAAAATGTATTTAGTTCCATTATTCACTGTTACTTGTCAGCTCCTGGTCATTAGTTATCCTTCTGTTTGCATAAGGCCCATTTTAGTTTTTCATTGTTTATAAATATTTGCTATGAAAAGAGGCTACTATCAAAGATGTTATTAAGAAGAGGGTTGATAAATGGCCTTTTCTGGATCATTTACTTTTACAGAGCATCGGGGATAGTTTATTATGTGTTTTTTTCCAATTGCTCCTTATAGGGGATATGCTCAGGGGTACGACATAAATCTGTTGCGCAATGAGGCATTATAAGCATTAATTTCCCTAAAGCAGTTTGGGATTTCAATCTCGAGATTTTCCACTGTTAAAAACAAGCACTGAAAGGCAAGGCTAACACAGGGATTCTGGGATATTTAAGAAGTAAGTAAGGACAACAGTGTTGTTGTAGCTAGGAAACAAAGAAAAATTCCATGTGCTTGATCGCAATTATCAATACAGATAGAGGAGAAAACTATAAGTTTTTCATTATATTTCAGCCCAAGCTATAGTCTATCATGCATAGTGTTGAAAATGTATGTCTAGGGAAGGAGAGCGTGATGACGCGAGGATGAGCACACGCATCAGTAGGCAGGGTCTGAGGGGCTGAGTGCCGCAGACGGCTGCATGTAGCCGCATGGATACGGAGTCCTAGGGAGAACTGTCTGGAACAGTCTGGGAATCCGGACAGGAGAGAGAAAACAGTGAGGAGAAAGGCATTGTAAGGCTTCGTGAGAGGAAGCTGTAGCGGAATGGATGATGCTAGGCACCTTTTATTCCCCTTTTTTGGCTGTCTGTACCCCCTGTAGCAGAATTTCCTCCTTTCGTGTGTTTTCCTCCTCTTATTTCATGTGGTTCCTCTTTGACTGTTCAAGAGACTTCATACAAATGGAATCCTTTCGTCTCCCAAACGAGGACCCATATGCCCAGGTAGAATGTTGACACCAACCACTTATGTGTGAAACCGCAATGGAAACAATTAATAAGTGCTTCCCCTGGGTGGCCGACATTTCGTATAACCCAACACGTGGCAGAGAGAATGGAAGCCATCTTGTCTCCCGAACGTGGGCAGCAGTACTTGGTCGTCATTTGCCTGGAATTCTATACGGCTAGGCACTCGCGCGAACACTGGTAAATCTTAGACGGCTGCCCGTTCCAGTTCCCGACCACCTACATGAATGACGTTTGGGAGATATGAACTACCGAACAGGATACATTTGTATCCTAAAATAAAGAGATTCCCTTCTCTGGTGTTCGCACAAGAAACCCACGAACAGAGCCCATCCAGGACACCTAATTTCCGGGAACTGTTTTGGGCTGGTGCCTCGTGCCTGGCCGGTCAAAACTTTACCATGATGGCATTCCCGTTCTGTTGAGCCGATCTGAGTGATTCTTGGATATGCTGGACACTTAGAGCTATCTGGGAATGTACGTTTCATCGGGTTCTGGGGTATGGTTGAGGTACTTTTGGGGATACACGATATTTTGTTGGATTTTCTGTACCTGAGAGATAATTAAATTAGAGGAGTTTTCTCAGGCAATTATCTTCCGGGGTAAAATACAAAACAAAGGAAACAGCGCTAGAGAAACCAATACTAAAAAAGGGGCAGCAAACCTAAGGTAGGGTTCCCTCTAAGCCATACTTGTATGAATAATACAGAAGGTAAAAGGAGAAAGGTTGTGCCAAAGACAAAAGTAGCTATTTAGAAGTATATCTAAAAAAGAGTCCAATATTGATGTCAAATTCAAAACACAAATAATACCAAAAAGAGTCCTAGAGCAAGTCTTGCCAGGGGGATAGCCAACAGTCTTATGGGGAGAATGTCATCTGTAGAAGTTGGATGAAAACAACTTGAGGGGTCTGTATTGGGAAACAGAAAAAAAGTTGATAATGCAATAAGTTCAATACAAAAGTGGTCTAAAGGCAACAGGGTCTAATGTAGTCCTACTCACATTTAACCCCTTAAGAACACATGACATTTAACCCCTTAAGGACACTTTTATTCCAGAAGTTTTGTCCTTAAGGGGTTAATAGAGCTATAAACCAGCTCTAATATGAATGGCATACAGTGGTACAATCCCCACTTATAGGATACGTAATGAGATGTAAATATACAGAAGTTCGTGGACCATAAAAGGGTAAAGAGAGGAGACAACTAATAGTGCTCACTGTATAAAAAATGTAATAGGAGTATAATTTTCAAAGTGTGATAAAAGATCTCATATGTTCTAACACAAAGAATGTAATATATTTACTTGAGTGCCCTTGTTGCTTACAATTCGTAGGCATGACTTCGAGATGCCTAAAAACTAGATTGACGGAGCACTGTCGCAATATTATAAGAGGATATCCAAACCACTCTGTCTCTAAACACTTTTTAAAGCATGACAAAAATTCCAAATAGTTACAATGTATAGGAATTCAAAAATGCAAACTCCCGGGGAGAGGTGGAGATATTAAAAATTGTTTTAGGTCAAAAAGAAATGTATTGGGTCTTTCTTTTAAAAACCCTCACCCCAGAAGGTTTAAATGTAGACTTTGACCTTTTTAACATTTTATAACATTAATATGAATATATATATTTCTATTTCAGAATATATTCTCATTTAATAGTTTTAATATTAACTCTTTTTTACCTTTTCTTTTCATTTATACCTCTTATGTATTATATGTATTACATGTATTTTCAATTATTGTACAAATCACTACTAATATGTACTGCATTCCCAATAAATACCACATCACTCATGCACTTTCCCCTCCCGATTACAAGGTAATGACCAAAGCCTCCATCCCTCTCTAGTATTATTTTACTGGGGGCACCATAGAAAGATTCTTTAATATTAAATTAATTTGTGTTTTTCTTTTCTTTTTCTTATAATAATCCAAAATCTATGACTATTTTCTCTTTTAGGCTGACTACTATTCCCCCTTTTCAATCTAAACATCCCCATTATCTTACAGTTCGATAAGCTGCACTAATACTACATTTCCCACTATTCCCACCGGCCCACGGCCCTTATCCACACCCCCTTCCGCACCAGCCACTCCCTCCCTACAAAGTAGCTTCATCTGCTTCCTCCTATTCATAATTCCACTTGGCTTGCAGCTGATAACCATGCCCCCTATGTTTCTCTTTATTTGCAATGTATTATTATCATTGTTTACAGCCCGATCCCGACGACCGTCAAACCACGCCACCTTTACTCTAACTACATATCCCATACTGCACAGTGTTAAGTTGCGAGTCAAAAATGGCCGCATATCACATGACCTTAGTCATGAGCACACTTAGAGGGACTTAGGAGGATGACAAGTGGGTCCTCCAACTTAGTTTGGGATTTAGGTTTACCCCTAAATATGCAGGGGGATCTGTTTATATTTTAAATGTTTCAAGTATTGTCAAGGTTTTATCTAAGAGGAAGGCTGGGTTCTTGAGTGAGAAATGAGGGAAAGAGGAAGTTCTGAAGTGTATTTCAATAATTGTGCAGGGGTTAAACACTCCATACAAAATAAATATGTTAGATGATCTGCCTAAAAAGAAGGTATTGATATTGCGTTCCTCCAAGAAACCCATTGGAAAAGAAGACAAAATCAGATGGGTGTATAAGTTATATGAGGATGTGTTTCATGGATCTTTGATGGGAAAAAAAGAGGGGTGACTATTATTTTTTCAAATAGGGTTCAGAAAGACATACAGATACATTCATACCTAGACACTGAAGGAAGATACCAAATTTTGGTTTGTAGAGTGAATTCTCAAATATACACGTTGGTTAATCTCTATCTCTCAAATATTTTACCAACTAAATGTCTGAAGAGCGTAATAGAGAAATTAGAAAAAGTGGAAATGGAAACTTTGATTATGGCCGGAGATTTCAACTGCGCCCCAAATGTGACTATAGATAAAAAGTTCAAAGGTAATAGTAAGGTTAATAAACAAATTTAAAAAAAATAACTCCTTAAATAATATTATGAAAGAAAATAATTTACCAGATATATGGCGAGTAAACCATACATCTGAAAAAGACTACTCACATTTCTCTAAGGTACACCAATCTTTTTCTAGAATCGATCTAATACTAGTGGGAAATAGTTTGTAGAACAAACCAATAAAATTCTGATAAAAGATAACCCATTGGCAGATCATAGTTTTATTTTATTTAATCTGAAAGATTTCAAATTATACAAACTATTTTGTACAGAAAATGTGACGGAAGGAATGTCCCAAGCAATGATATGGTGTGCCTTCAAAGCCATTATACAAGGCTATTTGATTAAGCTTCAAAACAAAATAAATAAGGAAAGGGGGCCACAAGAGAAAAATATATAGAATACTGTAAACTATAAAAATCAATATGAAATGGAACATATGAATAAAAATCTGGAAAGGATGAACGTGAATTACTTTTATGATAACAATAGAGTCTCAAAATGGTTAAAAAGAAAATGTAAAAAACGGACAGGTATTAACAGAATAAACTGTAGTGAAATAGTTCAAAGGAAATATATGACACCAGAAAGTATAGCCAAAGTATTCCAAAATTTCTATCACATGCTATATAACATACCAAATCGAGTAGGGGAACAACAATTATTTGAAGGACTTAGATATTCCTAGACTCAACCAAGATCAAATTAGTATACTTATTTCCCCTATAACAAAATTAGAAATGGATAAAGCCATAGATAGACTCGCTAATTTTAAGACACCTGGGCCAGATGGTCTGACCAACAGGTTCTACAAGGCTTTTTTGGAGGTATTAAATTAACATATTTTAACGCATTCAATAAACTTGTCTCTAAGGGCTCAGGTCCAAAGGAACTTTTTCAGGTAAATATTATACCGTTGTTAAAGAAAGATAAAAACCCACATGAAATTAAATACTACTGTCCAATCTCTCTTATTAACGTAGACTCTAAATTATTTTCAGCAATTTTGGCAGACAGGATAAAAGTTGCTCTTTCGAACCTAGTCCATGGGGATCAAATTGGCTTTGTGCCAAATAGACAAGCTTGTTTTAATACCAGGCGTCTGATTGAAATAATGAATTGGGGGGAGGCAAATGGGATTCCCCTTCTGACCTTCTCATTGAATGCAGAGAAAGCCTTTGACAGGGTCGGGTGGGGATATATGTTTAAAGTTTTGGAAACATTTGGTTTTTGTGGATGGATTTTAAAGGCAATAAAAGCAACATATAAATACCCAACCGCTAGACTGATAGGAGTGGATCTATGTTCGGAATGGTTTTACTTGAATAATGGTACCCGTCAGGGTTGTCCCCTATCACCAATTTTATACATACTAACTATGGGTTCATTCGCCATAAAAATAAGAACCAATACATTTATCAAAGGTGTTCCAACTAGTCCAGATGATTTTAAATTATGTTTGTATGCGGATCACACTCTAATTACCCTGATAGTCTCCATAATCTCTGTTAAATATTTGATGAAGGAAATAGACTATTTTAGCAAGATTTCAAATTATAAAATCAATATTGAAAAGATGACGGCCCTCTTTGTAAATATAGACCTAAGGACTATACAAAACATTCTAAATACTTTTAATTTCACTGATATAAAGGAAGCCTTCAGTAATCCAGGAGTTATGTTAGATAAAAAAGTGGATTGGATTGTTGAAATTAACATACTGAGGATTTTAAAATCCACTAATATCACTTTGAAAAAGTGGGGTAATGTGATGACAAACTGGCTAGGCAGAATTAATATAGTAAATGCTTATATTCTACCCATATGGACCCATTTCTTTAAAATTGTACCACTAAGTATACCTGAAGGTTGGTTAGATGTTATCTAAAGAAGTTTTAGAAATTTTATATGGAAGGGGAAAAAACCTTGGATAGGCCTGGGATGTCTGGGAAATAGGGTTTATCAAGGAGGTGTAAACTTTACTAATATAAAAATAAAATTACAAAGCCAGCAGGGTATACAATGTTAATTTATTAACCAAAAAAGCAACGAGGAAAGAAGGGTGGTTTAGACTGGAAATGGTATCACTTAATAAGGCTGAACTGAATAAATTAATATGGAAAAGTAACAGCTATTCAAGGGTGAAAAAAATAAAAAACAAGATAATGGCTTATATTTTTATAATATGGCACAACATTAAAAAAAAATTAAATGTACAGAGAAAATATTTGGTTTCTTGGAAAGAAAGATTTTAGAACTTCTCATTGAAGATATATCTCTGGCCAATTGGAAAAGCAGGAATATAAATACCTTAGATAATATTTTAGATGGGAGAAACATTAAAGCTTTTTCTTCTTTAGTCTTGGAATATGATTTTCCAAACTCAGAAATATTTATCTTATTTAAGGGTCAAATCATTTATCATATATTTATCAAAATATATGTTCAAAGGTTCACACAGAGCTTACAATCTTATGAAAAGGGTATTTGACCCAAGGGCAAAAGACAAGTTATTGTCTAAATGATATGATTTGGTAAAATGTCACGGTTATTGGTGGAGCAACCCAAGGTGATTTAGTAGGAATTAGTAGAAGTAAATAAACACATTCATAATATTTCACATAATATTTCACTAAGAGAAACCTTTTATAAGGTTAGCAACAGATGGTATTTGGTACCCACAAAACTGGCCAGGATTGACCCAGATGCCTTAAGAGTCTGCTGGAGATGTGGGGTGGCAATTGATAGCTACATACATATATGGTGGGGATGCCTGAAAATTAAAATATTATGGGAATGGTTCTATGAATTGATCAAAATAGAAAGAAAACCTCAAATGTCCCTTCTACGTCTGTTCTGGCTCACCTTAAGTAAAACACAATATTATCTTACAGTACATAGCTTGATCACAGTTAACATTCTAATAATGAGAGAATGGAAACAGCAATGGGAGATACAATATTCCCAGTGGAAAGAACAAATCATTTTACAAATTTAGATGGAAAAGAGTATGAGTTGGATTAATAACTCCTCTGCTAGAAATAATAATTTAAGGGACAAATGCCTGCAGAAAGCGTTGGCACTTTTATAAACACTAGTTAAACAGATTGAGCCTTTCCTCACTCCCAACTTTTAATGTACATATCTATCGATTAGACAGATCGAGGTGACTAGATACAGAAATCACTCTCAAGTAACCTAGCCTACAATCCTCCAACAGTCCTCTCATATGCTTACGTTATATTATTGTAGTAAGTCAAATATTTTGTAAGCATGTATGTGGGATGTTTGTATGAAGTAACAGTATTGTATGTATTTCTATGTTTATTATTCTTTTCTTAGACAAAAAAAAAGATAAGTAAATGTATGTCTAGTGTTGGCAGGTTGGAGCCATCCTAACACTACTGTCTTAGAGCCAGGAAACCCAGGTTTGAATCCCAGTCAGACCCCTTTTCCAATAAGTGTCCCTTGACAAGAACATGTTTTTACAGCACGGCAAGAAAACTACCAGGAATTGAAAGAAAAGAAACTAACCACAGTTTGGTTTCTACCTGGAATCCTGTTCCTACCAATGATGACATTGGCGGACATCCATTGAACAATCCAGGGTGGGGATTATACCACCTGCACCTGAAACACAGAGCTTTTGTGTCTGCTCTCCAGAATATAAGTACATTTGCAACTATTTCCCTTATACTTACTCAAACAGAGAACACTACTGTCCTTTTTCCTCTTTTTATGTGATACATCTCACTACCATCCTGCTGTGAGACAACATCAAAGTGATATCCTACAAGTGGGGATTTATACCACTATACCACTATATACTGTATTATATGGAGTTGATTGAAGCTCCACTACACATGAGTTGCTATTTGTGATCTAAAGTATTGTGTGCACCACGCTGTACTGGCATATTGCACTATTGTTGTCTTTTATATTTTGCCAAGAAACAATACAATTACCAAAACCATTGCATGAAAATAGACTTTAAAGAATTCTGTTTTGGGACTTTTTTCATACCTGGTACCCCATTTTATTATGCGATTATATTAACTGGTTTTATTTATTTTTTTATATGAGTGTGTTTTTATTGCCTATTCTAGTTTTATATTGAATTTTTGACACGTCCTGTATTTTGCTTTTCTTGTCTGTTACTTATAGCATCTTTGAGGGAATACCCTACCTTCAGGAGTGCTGGATTTATATATTTTGACATAGGTATTTATCGCGGCTCCACACCCTCTTTTTGTTTCTATGCAAAAGGTTTTCATGCCAGAACTCCAAGACATATGCCACTACTGATGCTCTGGAGCTGCTTTGCATCCTCTGGCACTGGAAACCTGCAGTGTGTGGAAGGGGAAGATAGACTCACTGAAGTATCAGGAAATTCTAGGAGAAAACATCATGCCGTCTGTGAGGAAGCTTAAGCTTGGGCGTCATTGGACCTTCCAACAAGACAGTGATCCCAAGCATAGCTCAAATTCCACCAAGACTTGGTTGCAGAAGAAGTCCTGGAAAGTTCTAAAGTGGCCATCACAGTCACCTAACTTAAACCCCATGGAAAATTTCTGGTGGAATTTGAAGAAGGCTGTTGCAGTACACAAACCCAAGAATATTACTTAATTGGAGGCCATTGCTCATTAGTAATGGGCTAAGATTTCTCAGGATCGCTGCCAGAAGCTGGTGTCTGGCTATATATCTCATTTGCAGCAACTCATAACAGCAAAAAGGTGCTCTACTAAGTACTGAAGATGCTTGCCATGAAAGGGTTGAATAATTAGAAGAGTGGAGGAGTCATTATAAGTTGCATTTTTGGTTGAATTTGGAGAAAACACTTGAAGCATTCGTTGAGCTATTCCAATTGCTTTTGTTTGATTAGTTTATTGTAAACAGCTGAAAGTCTTCACATTTTGAAAATAAATCAGATTTTCAATGTTGTTGAATAATTTTGATTACAACTATATATCTGCCTGCCACATAGATTGCAAGTTTGTCTGAGCAGGGCCTTTTCACCTCTCCCTTTTTTAAATAAATCCTAAATAGCATCAGATACAGTCAATAAGAAATGGTTTCAGTGTTATTCTGTGTTATTCTGAGTGAGGTTTCCTTTTGCAAGAGGTGTGTGCCCGTTGAAGGTAAAAAAAAGAAGGAACAAAATTAGTCATCGTTATATAAAATGATACCAATTTTTAGAAACACACATTGAAAGATATACTCCAAGCACTGTGAATGGAAGTCCTCTGTCACAGAGTTCCTTATGGCTTCATACCTGGCAACATTTCAGGACAAAGATCATTTATAGACCATTTTTAGGTGTCAGCATGACCATCATCCTTTCATTTGTGAATGAATAGGTTCAACATGACCTCAAAGCCCCATGATAAGTAGCCCAGGCTCTCTTGTTTGACCAATGTTTTTATTACGAGGGTGCAGGGGTTGGAGGAGGAATCTGAAATCAGAGGGGTTAAATCAAGCTGTCAAAATGCAAGCCTGGATTCTGAAATTGGCAGATATCTTTCCTGAATCTATAGTTTCTGCCCCCAAAAAGTCAAACTAAAACTGTATGAATTTACTCATTTGCTGAAACCAACATTCATTTTTCTGCATTATCCCACATTACAATAGTCACATTTCAATTGCAATAGTATGTCTGTAGATCTGTGAATAAAACACAAAAAAATGAAATCTTAAATTATGTTTTGGCAGACGTTTAAAATAAAATGGTAACATGAAAAGTGTCAAAGTGCCTAAATAAAAACCACTGACGGTCTACTTTCTACAAAGGTATACTTTTGTGTTGTCATGACTGCTATTAAAGGATCACTTCTGGGACCAAGTTTTGTTTTTGTTCTCATTTTTCCAATTGTTCTATTTGTTTAATATTTAATCTGTTATTTAGACTTATAGGATATCAAAAGAAAATCCTTATTTTTCTAAACAAACATTATATATTATGTTTTGTGCATTTAATCAGAAAGTATGAAAGAACAGTAATACAAACTCAAAGGAATTAGTGCCTCTCATACAGAGAATCATTGAAAAGGCTAAGGGGTTAAAACAAAAGGTAATAATGCCTTAGTATTATTAAAAACAAAATCAGCTGCTCTCAACAACACACCTGAACCACACTTGTCTTCTTAGACACCTGCTGCAGCCAAAATGAGTTAGGCACCCTGGATGGAAATCCATACCTTGAGAAAAATCAACGTTTGCAGGGTTTTTTATTAAAGTGAGAATTTCAATTTTAAGGCCAGAGCTGGATTAGATCATTTTTCCAGTTTGACCTTGAATTTGAAATCTTGTTTAAATTTGCACTTTATTGAATAACCCTGTAGGATTAACGTACAACTGTGCTTTACCCCCACACCTTATTTACAAGGCAAGACGACAGAGAGAGGAAAGGAAATGCAGCTCAACTATCCCTTTAAACATTCATGAAACAGTGCAATCTCTAGAGTGATACCTTCATAAAATGATTGACTACCTAACAAAACGATGGAAAATCTCTAACAGTTTTTACGGTTACCCTATGCAGAGAGACTGTATGCCAAGCATCGGTCAGCAAGCATGGGGAATGTAAGTCTGCCGCTTTAGGACATTCTTTGGCATGCAGATCAATAATGAGGTCTTGTAGTTCAGCATAAGTTTAATGTCCTGTTTCCATAGCTGTACACCAGTGAATCATCTCCCCTTCCAGCCGCTATTGTATATGTTAAATCTATAAATGTTGTACTGTTTGCACAATATCTGGTTCTTATCCTTGTCTAACCTCTGCAATTAACTCTGCAGAAGTCTTCTTTGTGACTTGCTGATGATAAACCTTTGCCTATGGCCGAAACAAAAAAAGTAATATTTGATGTATTGATAGAATATGCCGATGTAAGCAACCATCTGTGTTTATGCTGTCGGTGTCAAATCAAAGCATGGACAACATTTGTAGAGTGTTTTATTCACTTTTAATTTCTGTACAATATTATTATTATTATATTATTATTTGCTATTTTTGTTATTCTTGACAACATAGCCCACTGTACTGAACAATATGTAGGCGAACAAGTGACTTGGATGGTGGACAACTAATAACCAGATATTCGGTGCTTTGGTACATGCTAGCAATGTATACGTACTAACTAACAATAATAATAAACCCAGGAGAGTGACACAACTATGAACTGCGAAACTAGCTCATAGCTTGTGGTTTTCCAATTAGTTCTCTTTATCATTGGGCCATTTCTGCAGCTCAGTGAAAGTTATATTACTGTAATATCCACGTCTGGCTGCTCCATCCTGTCCACGCTGTGAATGGATGGATTCTGCTTGGGGACACGTCCTCCTCCATGATGCCAAACCATAGACTTCATTGCCAGCATGCCTGATCCTGAGCAGAGTGACATCAGTCACCACATTGTAAAACTCCCTAGGAAGCATTGGGAAGAAGCATTGGTTAGAAAGTAGTCATAGTGACCACCATTTATGCATTGTTGTTTTTTTTTTGTTGTTTTTTCATTTGTTTTTACTGAACAAATTATTCACATATTCCTGTACCGTTGGTATCATACAATAAAATACAGTCAGTGTTTGATCCACAATACATAGATTCAAGAATGGCATTACATACACATGATTAATTTGTAAGGACATTGTAACCTAATGTGATACAGATGAAAAGACAGGTCTCTTGCTTATGCCATTTCTTACTACCCAACTAATAGCAATTCTGTTTGTGCCGTATGTCTCACATTTGCGCTCTTGTCTCACATCAAAGTCTCAGAAGTGTAATTGCTCAGTTTAACAGTGGTATCGTAGAGAAATAATAAAGAAGAGGATTATAATGAAGGTAATACAGAACAAAACAAACTACATGAAAACAGGTGAAAATGAACGCATTCGTGCTGGCCACTGTGCGAATGATAAAAGGCGCTTACCCCAAGCAGGTTGTGAAGGTAGTTCTTGTGATGTGATAGGATTATCTGGCACCATTAAATTTCCCTCAGCCCGATACTCAAACCGTTGGCACAAGTACCGCATTGCTGTTTTTATGCTTGGAGAGAAGGACCACACACAGAAAGGCTTTCCTGCTCACCCTGTCACTCAATTCTTTCTCATTGAGATCTATGCTTAACAATTGATTTACACCAATTTTTAAATATAGTCTTCTCCCAATCTGTACATTTGCTATCAAAACTGCTAACACAACATATAGATGAAACTTAATTTACTTTTGATTTAAATAAACTTGTGTGCATTAGGACAGGTTCAATTTAATAAGGGACTCTTTATAGCAGCCAGCGGCATCGTGAAGTTTACATTAAGTGCCTTCCATGTTTTATGGAAACTGAACGTTTTTATGCATATTATTTACTTAATTAGCAGACAATTTATAATGTTAAACCAAGAGTACTTAGCTGTTCATTTATGGATATGTGCACAATGTATCTGTCTGTCTATCTATAGCATGTCTGTTTATATGAAACAATAAAATAACATATTCTCACCACCGTTTGAGCCTCCTGTTGTTGTAATTATCTAATATATATCACATACTGGGGGTTAAATCACTCAGTTTCCTATTCTGTTTTTCCTTTTTCCACAACTTACAATTGCATCTCTGTAATATAGCCCTGCAAGACACATGTAGATGTGTTTCAAGTCAGAATATTAAGAGAAACAGACAAGGATCAACAGATTTGACCTTCTAGGAACAAATTGTCCTTGGCCTGTCATCAAAAATCCTCTAGGCTTTAACCAAAGCTTGTCAAACAATAACTGACTCGATCACTCACCCATTGCAGTTTCGGGTTCAATAAAATCTTTATGGCTATTGAAACCTATTAAACGTATGCTTGTTTTGTGAGTTACGATTAAGAGCGTGACTGCGAGATGCGTTAAGTCTTGGTTAGATGTTCCTTTTTCATGTCTCTAGCACCTTGCGTTTATGATTAATACATTTTGGAATATATCTTGAGCTGCCTTTTTCTCATACCGACTGTTTCCTACCATTTAATTGCTTTTTGTCATTGTTATTACTTGTGACATTTGCAGGAACTGTGACTAGATAGACCTGGACATTTTATTATGGCCCTTTTTTAAATTAATTACCATCATTCCATTTTGTAATGTCATTTATTCCTGACACGTGTTACCTTAATTAACTTGTATTTGTTTCTGTTCTGTCTAGTTCATCTTACAAATTATCTTTGGTAATTGTCTTTTTCTGACATGCTATCTGATGTCTAGCTTAACAACTCAACCTTTGCTTTGCTCTCCCCAGTATATTTACTTTTTGATGAAGCCTTCTCTGATAACCAACTACTATCAGAGGTCCTTTGTAATTGGTTCGGCATATCCGACACACTTATTTCCTTCTAGAGACCACACTTGCATGTGTGTCCTGCCATTAATCAGTGCTCAGGTCAAAGTCTTTTTTTGTTGTTCTAATTTTGAGTTCATCTCTCACTTTCTCTATTCACTCTCTGCTTAAGATTGTGGGGTGCTCATCCCCCAAATCTTTCCAGTATTTTTATTGTTGGTCATTTTCAAAGGAGAAATAGGAAATATCAATAGATATTAGCAGTAGTATTTATTTAGCACCATGATATTCTGCTTTGCAATTCTAGAAAGGGTAAGAGATGAGGAAGGCTCTGTACAAATGAGATCACGATCTATGAGGATTTGAGGTAGGCAGTGTCTTGCCCAGGGTCACTGGCCGGTGAGGTGGTCTGACCAGGTTTCGAACCAAAATTTCCCGTTTGTAATGTTTCTATTACTTTAACCAGCCAATATAATCATGTATATCAGATCCTCTTTAGTGATTCAAAGTCCCCTTCCCTCATCTCCATTGGGATGAAAGGAACAGAGACACAGTATGAATACCTACGACAACACACGATGAAGAATGCAAATACCCTCCCTATAAGAGAGCTTAATGCTGAATCAGTTTGTGCCATTTATAGACATAATGTGTGTGCATGCTGCAAACTCTAAACACAGTTACTGCTCATGAATCTGGATCTTTGTTAGCACACTCCCTGCCTTTAAATCAAATTAGGATGAATGTCAGCAACTGACTCCCCAAAGATCTACAACATTTCCATAGAATGAGCAATAACTATCACTGCTTCAAAATCTGGCTCTCGTGCTGCTTTAGGTGTCTGCTGTACAATAGTCCATTACACAACATAGACAGACAGAATATTGCTGGTTGGCTGCCAAGGAGCAAAAAGAAATACATGTATTTATTATATAATAAAGGTTGACATTGATATGATGATTTAATTATGAATTATATACAGCATTAGTCACAATGATTCAGAGAGAGACTGCCCATGTTTTTTATTATTTTTTTATGGTGAGCTGCAGAACTTTAAAATTCTTGTGTTACAGATTTGGACCTTTTTAAACAGTTACATAATATAACAATGTCTATGGTATGATAATGCAAGCTGAGAGTCATTACAAAGTCCAAGTGGGGTACATTCTATCCAAGGATCCCTGCCTACACACTCATGCCTTAAATTAATATTTAGTTTGAGTTGAATCTTTCTTGATGTCCTGGTAGTTTTTCGTACAAACATGCTTCTAGAATGAAGAAGGTAGCTGTTGTGATTTTAATATATAATACATTCATCCATCATCTCTCACTTCATGTGGAGTGTGTCTTTACGATTTAAAGAACTGGTGGGATTTAAGAAGCATTTACAGCATGGACTGTACATTCTCAACCTGCACGTGTTAGGACGATAACGTTAGATAAAGTCATAGAAAGGGAGTTTTTTTCTTAGAATACTTTAATGTGAAATTGCTGTGTTTACCTGATAACTGCCATTTTGGTTAATGCCCAATGGGGAACCTGGACATGGTCTATTATACCATTATATTAAAGTTGTTAAATTTTATTGTTGTTAAATTTTTAAACTAATATTATTATTGCTACATTACTGTCAGACACTGATATTTTCTTACATTTTTGTTCAGAATTATTTTTATTAGCAAATTTATGCTGGTTCCTTGCAAAGGGAGATTGTGGGGGGTCAATGTTCTAAAATGATTCAAATCAGCAGGAATATAACATTTTATGGTTATTGCCCACACTTTACACCAGATTTTTTTCCCCATAATCTTTATTATATTACCTTAAGAGGAAGTAAACGGTTGGCTGAATTAAATACGGAGCATAAAGATTCAGAAACGCATTCTTGCTTCTATGTTTCGACAAAAGAAAAGTAAAATCACCTTATTCTCTCTGTGTGTTCTTTTTTTATTCTCTGATATACTTCGTTTTCCTCTGTGTGTTGTGCATGTGTAATAAGCTACAGAGCTCATAATTGTGAATGGTCTATGAGTTTTCTTAAGAATGATAAATAGCATCCAAGGCTTTGTTTTCACCGAACTCAAAATGTGTAACTTGACTGTTGGCTGACCTCAGCCTTCAATCAAGATGCTCAGTCACAGAAGCTTATTGACAGTCCACTACTACCGCCTGAAGGCAAATTGTCTCCTTTTAAATAGACCCTCTACGTACACAACAGTCAATTACAAAAATTAGAACACTCTGAAGAATTCTGAGAAGAATTTTGTTTTAGAGAAAAACAAAAGCACATCGATAGTAGAATGGAGTAATCATTTGGGACTTTTGCTTTAGACGATTTTTTTTTTAATAAAAATATTAAGCTCTCTTTATTACAAAAAATTTTTAAAATAACCACGAAAAGGAAGAACTTTTATTTAAAGTGACAGTATAGGCACCAAGACCTCTTCATCTCATTGAAGTGGTGTGGGTGCAGTGTGCCCCCTCCCTTTATCCCTGCAGCTGAAATCATTGCAGTTTTAGAGAAGTTGCAATGTCTCCTTTGCATGATTAAGACTGCCTCTAGTGGCTGTCTACGGGACAGCGACTAGAGGGGCTTCCTTCAGTTACAGTCCTGGACATTCTCACGTTTTGCATAAGGACATTCATTGTCTTGGAAATCCCCATAATAAATTGGAAAATATAACAAATAAATATGTTTGTGTACTTACGTATATTGTTGTATAAATATATATATACATATAGTTCACACACGTTGCACACACGTAGATCCACAAAGGTATATGAACAATAATCATGTACATATGCACACACAAATATACATTGAAAATATGGAGATAAATATCTGTAACATTGTTTATACATGGTAATTAACCCCTTCCTGACCAAAGATGGAAAGCTTGTCTTTTCCATCATTTACTAACGTTAACCCCAGATCACCGCGATCGTGGGGTTAACGCTCATCTGGTCTGCCTAAGTATTCGAGGCAGACCGGGAGCACCCAATCGCGCTGTCCCTGACTTCTGAAACACCTCCCTGTGCTACCGCGTTCTGTATGAAGTGCAAGGAAACGGATCAGAAGTGATCTTCTCCCTGCAAAAAAAAAAAAATTAAGTTACATTTAAATCCCACCCCCCACTTTTCCCTGCTTTAATAAAATTGATCCCTTCCATGTCAAATGATCCCTGACTACAGTGATCAATTGGCAAGGACTACATATTACTGTCATCTGATTTTTTTTAACCCTCAGGGGTTACATTTACTTTATTAATTAATTTAAATATTTAAAAATTATATATTTAGATAGCTGGGGTGGGTGGAACTTAGTGGGGAATTGGGGAATTTGGTATTAGGCTAGCTAAGGGTAAACATTAAAAAAGTTTTCAAAAAAGCTTTAAAAAGTTTTCAAAAGTTTTCAAAAAATTGTTTTAATAATGTTTAAAAAAATAAAAAAAATCCCACCTACTTTGCCCAGTCCAAATAAAAATGAACCCTTCCCTGCCAGTTGATCACTGCCTACAGTGATCAAAATACAGATCACGGTATTATACTATATATCAATAATTAATTTAAATATTTAAGAATTATATATTTTGCTAACTGAGGTGGGTGGGAGTTATGGGAATTTGGAGAATTTAGTGTTAGTGCTGCTTACTGCTAGTTAGGGTTTAACGGTAAAAAAAAGTTTATACAAATTTTTAAAAGTGTAAAAAAAGAAAGTTAAAAAATACATTAAAAAACGCTCATTACCACTACAACTGGAACAAACTAGAAAGAAATGATCCCATGCTAAGGTTCAAAATATGCCTTTTAAATTATTCCGGGGTGTTTTCTTTAATAAATAGTATGTGTTTGTGGGGAAGTTTGAATAACAAACCAGCTACACTACTCCAAAATGGAACATGGACACAGTGTAAAACTTCAAAGTTAGAAAAAAACTGAATGGCTGTGTCTCAAATGTGCCCCTTCAACATTCATATATACCTGGCAAAGGTACATTTGGGAGTATTGCTGTACTCAGACTACATAGCTGAGCAACATGAAGTATTATACAGTCGTAGCACACATAAGGTTTGCAAAATATACTGTGCAAACTCACTTTGTGTGTCAAAAAGGCAGGAAAAATGCTTATTATCTCTACACTTGGTACAAGCTAGCGGAACAATTGTCCCAAGCTAAGGTTCAAAATATGCCTTTTGAAATACCCTGGGATGTCTTATTTAAGAAATGGTATGCCTTTATGGTGTAGTTGGAATATGTAGCCTGCTCAAGTGCTCCAAAGTGGGACATGGACGCATCAAAACCCTTAAAATTCACACTTAAAAACCTGAACTGTTACGTCTCTTACAGAACTGTAACTTCACAACATAGTGTCTAGGTCATACATTGGGCATATTGTATATGTGTCAATGTTGTTTTCTGTGATGGCTACTAAACCTACAAGTAGTTTTTTTCCAATTTTTTGGCATTTTGTTTTATAATTAATGAGAATTTATCTATCTATATGTGACATAAAATGATAGCCTGGTCGCCCTTTAAAAAAATGGTATATAATATGTTTTTGAGATGAAAATTGTGTTTGAACACAAACAGCAAAAAATACAAAAATGGCTTGTGTCCTTAAGGGGATAACATACAAAATGGTATAAAGAAGTCCACATTATATGAGAGAAAAGACAGAAATTACAAAAACAATCATTTAAACCCATAATGTCAGTTTAATGGAAAAAAACAAACAGTAACTTATTTGGCTGTGTCAGGACAGACAAAAAGGAGAATTAGTCCAGTTGGAACCAAATAGATCAGCTAAATTCTTTCCATTTTACACACAGCTAGTCATGAAATCCTCTAAAATGATAATAAACTGGCTTCATAGCAACAGCGAATGTTGTCCATGGACCTTAAGCTAGGGAGTTGAGCACAGCAAGTTCTCAGAGTTGGTTTGTGAAACTTTAAAGGTTAGAACTGAATTCACTATGAAGCGGATGGGATGATTCAGCACAAACCGTGTGTCTGATCTCCTGCACACAGACATTATGTGCTTAATGCCATCACTCATTTATTTAATAATTCTTATATAGCAGTAGCAGGTTATTTCAGAACGCATTGTATACTGTCGATATCCGTAGAGAAAAAGTTTAGATCCCTCTTTTATAAATGTATTTGATTTGGTTTCAACTTCAAACAAAACACATATCTTTTTATAAACCTGAACTTAGAAAGTAATGTTTGCTAGAATGCATAGACTGCCTATTGGAACTCAGTGTAACTGATAGTTATCCATCAGTCGTTATATAAGACTTGGCATGGTATTTTGCAGGGATCAATAATGGGATTTCTTCCTGTTGGTATTTGAACTTTAAATACATACATGACATAACTACACACAACAGAATAATGGCCGAAAGTTATAGTCATAACATACACCGAAACTACCTTAGTGGCCAGTACATAACTAAATTCTCTCAAAAAAGGTGTCACTTGGAAAGGAAAAAAGTAATTATTTACTAGGAAGATGGCTATTTATTAGACTTGTGTACAGTAAAAACCTTTAGTACTACTGAATCATTTTCTCAGCAGATAGAAACATTTTTGGGACACCCAAAATTGGGTCGGATGTCAGTTTGACTTGGCCAAATATCAATTCGGAAACTGGATGTGAAGAACTGACCAAAAAGCCAGGAAAATTGAACAATCAGCGTGTTGCAAGATACATATAGTTTTCCCCATGATTTTTTTTTCTTTAGTTTGTGTTACAGACAGATTATTATTGTCCCCCTCCCTCAAATATATTAGTGCTTTTATAAAATCTAAAACCATAACTATTCCATAGAGTAGAGGGTTACTGGGTAATTGAGAAAAATGGCAAATGCTTGGAAAGTTTTGGAGTCCAGCCACTAGGAGGCACTCATTCTATAAGAATTCAGTAGCTGGGGAAGCCAAACTGAGCCCCCCAATGTTAAATCAGATCTTTACTTTAAATAATGTTCTGGAACCCACAATACGTTCCTATGCTTTTGTTAAGGTATATGACAAGAAAATGAGTTTTTATCGATCTCTGTAGAAAAAGAAAAAGGAAATGTATAGAGGCAGGACACACGTATTAAAAGGTTAACACTGATTTATACATTTTGAACTGGTTTTAATGGATTCGGAATTAAGTTAATCCTTTCTATGTGAGAGAAGGTAGATGGTTTATTGCAGATACAAGAGACAGACGGCCATTGTGAATTTAGCCTAATGAAATGCATATTATGTATTCCATCACAGAGCCTTTCAGAATATTTTGGTCCATTTGTGTATAAGTATTTAGAGCTCTGTTTAGTTAGAAATACATTTAAGAATAACAGTGAACATACAGTGTGCTACCTTGTCAGGAACTAAAATAAGAATAAGCAGATTTGGCTAGAATATAAATACTTTCACTGTATTTCCGTGTATTGGGGAATGGGCAAGCAGCCAGGATAAAAAAGCATGATGGTGAAGCTATGTGCAGAATGTGGAGAAGGTGTGGTTTTGCGGTTAATGTGTTGATGTTGTATAAATAATATTGGGTTTGATCCCAGCCTTAGCCACTTACAGTCAATCTGTGACATCTTGGGTCAAATCACTTTTCTGTGCATATCTGCAAACCCTTCTAACCCATCTGCCAGTTGAGAATAATGCCACGTCTATTCCTTTCTAGTGCTTGATTTTTAGACAGTCCAAACCCTCAGAAATGTCCTCAAAAGGTTGAAACACCACATAACTCTCCTTAAAAACACCTGATGTTTGACTGTAAACACGATTGAATCTAAAAGGTGCACGTTTAAGAAATGTTAATTTCTTTTAAGCCACGATGAGCAGGTCTAGTAGCTGAATGAGTTTGCAGCAATTTTTGGACAGTCAACAGTGTTTTTTTTTTTACCTTTTCCATTTCTTCATTTTCCTTCCCGTTAGCATGCATAGCTGTTTTCCTTCCATTCTCAAATCCAGTTCTGGAATATAAAGCAAGTATGTTCCTATTTGGGTGACCTCAGTGGCTTTCAAGGTTCGTGACTTGTGATGAATTATTTTTAGACTTTCCAGCTGACTGGAGAGACAGCTATCATATACAATTGTGCAGAAAAGAAAATACATTAGCCCCAGCTCTACAGTGCTTAATGATTGTTTTCCACAGAATATTATGGTGTTACATAATTAAATTCAGTTATTCATAAACAGGATCCTAGCTCGTAAAGCCTCAGCAAACCTCTGCTTTGTGATGACTGAAAGATCCTTGTATTCTATAATAAAGGTTGGCAACATTCGGAACTCCAAATGTTGTGAACTACATCTCCCATAATGCTCTCACAGCCATAATGCTGGCAATGTAACAAGGTCAAGACAAAGTCTACAACATCTGCAGTGCTGAAAGTTGCCTACCCCTCTCCTATAATATCCTAAAGGATTCTCTGTGTGCATTGGTCTGAAAATGTAGTGCTTTTTGTGATTTAATTACACCAATAGCTGGTTTTGAGTGAAAAAAGATGTTGACAGGCTTGAAGAAAGAAAACTATACCTTGCTGGGTTGAAGGTCCAGTCTCAAGCAGTACCTGGAATAAACCTGCACCAAACAGGGTCCAGAAGAAATATATGAGTAGCCAGACTGAATCCAAAAGTTTTTTGTAGGATCTGAATATTAATCTGCCTTGAAGAGCCTAAAATGGCTCAACACAGCAAGTTTCAGCCTAGCTGTCAAGGTCATTAATGGTGGTTTAGAGATACCTTTTATCATTCGAGAATTGGCGACTAACAATCTTTTGGTCACTTGACAAATTTCGAATTCACCTTATCATTTCCTAATCCATTCACATTATAGAAAAATACTATTTTAAATCCCTTTTATGTTCTTGTCCTAGGATTTCCATGTGGTTATATGCAATGAGATCATATTGTATATCCCCATGTCTATGAACTATAGAATAGGCAAGGGCAGATCATGGGGCATAAAGAGTGGAACACATATCCCACACATTAATGGGAATTCTCAAAATCTAATCTTCTTATCATTATAATTATTATTACATTGCTTAATTAGGATGAAGGAGAGGAAATGGTGGTTCTATCTTTCAGGACTCTTGACTTGTAATTTGATTCTAGGAGTTTAGAGTTTTAAGAGGAGATGGGTTCTTTCAGCTTTATTTCTTTTTAACTCATCCATACAATGATGCAAACCTTGAATACTATATATGATATTTCTATCACATTTCTATATCTAATGATATTTGCATTTATTTTCCCCTCTAAAATTACTGATATCTGTCTCATGTCAAACACTACAGACACCTATCTGGTGGGGGCATTGTGAATCAGGACATATCTCCTTCTCCTACTGTTTAGTAAGATTGAACCCACCATAGACAGCATTCCTATTAACTTACATGTGATCTTGGCAAAGCAATAAATGATCACTGAAAAAAAAAAGAATGAGGAGAGAAGAGAATAAATGTGTGCCTCTCATCCTGATGACAGTAATATGATTATTTGCTTTTGGAATTGTTTGCTGTTTGAATTTGGTTGGCGGCCATACCCAAACTTGTCACATATAAGCAAAGCTATTTTTTTTAGAAAATGTAATGCTTTTAGTGTCTGTTCCAACAGAAAATATTGTATATTAGTCAACAAGGCTGACCGCATTTCAGATCAACAGCTCTGAGAAAAATGTATCACATCTATCGCTTTTCCTGGAAATCGGGCAGGAAGTTGTTTGTGTCATATGGGATATATCTCAATCATAATGGAATTTACTCCTTGGCAGTCAATATAGGACTAGATTCTCTTGTCTCCCAAGCAGATTTTCATATGGATTACAAATGCAAAAAAGTTCCTACTTATGTCTATGGGAGTTATTAAAATATGTGCTGCCACATAAGGATAATTTCTGTTGAAGCAGGAAACATTAGGGGAGAAAGAGGCTGGGGATTGGAAGGTAGCCACAGCAGCCTCCTTTTGAGGCTCTGGAACAGGAGCAGGTTTAGCCAGGGCTGTGATGGTGCCATTGGTCTGGTTAGGTGGTCTTTTCGGTCCAGTAGCATGCAGAGTTGAACAAAAAAGGGGCCATGGAGGACTTGCTGGATGGTGATACAGAGCCCCCACATGGCTTTGTTTAGGGTGATGAGAACGTATCGGGCAATAGCTGATGTAGTGGCCTCCCTTGCCACAATAGAAGCAAAGGCCTTTGGCTTTCCTTCTGGCCTTTTCAGTTACTGTGAGCATTGTATTTAGTGCTCCAATCTGCATGGGTTCCTCTATGTCCATGGTGGGGATAGGGGTATAGGTCTCACCAGTAGGTTGGGAGCGTTGATCATGGAAAAGGGTTTGTTTCAAATCGCTCCTGCCTTCTTTCTCTGAACCGGAGATCCAGTTGGGTGGCTAGCACCATTAATTTTTCCAGGGAGGTTGGAACTGCCACTCGTGCCAGTTCATCCTTAAGGGTTTCAGTTAAACCAAGGCGGAATTGGTCCACTTGGGCAGTTTCATTGAGTCCAGTGTCTGATGACAAGCCACGGAACTCTGTGATGTAATTTTCCACAGGACGGTTTCCTTGTTTAAGGGAACAGAGAGAAGTCCGGGCTGTGGAGGCACAGAAGGGGTCCTCATACAAGGAGGTCAAGGCTGTAGCAAAGGATTCCCAGGTGTCCAGTACAGGGCTTTTGGCATACACCTGTTGATGTGCCCAGGTCTTGAGTTGCCCAGATAACAGGGTGATGACAGTTCTTACTTTAACAAAATCTGTGGCATATGTACGGGTTTAAGTACAAACAGGATTTCACAGTCTGTGATAAAGGAGCGTAAGGAAGCCCTGCGACCAGTGAATCTTTCAGGCAATGCAATATCAGGTTCAGGAGCATGGTGTGTGTTCCCCTTTAAATCAGCATAGCCACGCTGCAATTCACTTACGGTTTGAGACAGAAGGGTCACTTGCTGTGTGAGGGTACTCAGGACATTCATCATCTCCACGGGCTCCATGGTAGTCGATCTGGTCATTGTGTAACAGTTCACTAGGAGTTAGAGCGCAGTTGCAGGAGATGGCACAGGAAGGAGGCAAAAAACAAAAGTGCAGTACAGATTAAGGGGAAATCAAAAGGCAGGGTCAGATGAGAAGCAGAAGTCAGTGCTGGCAGCGGAGTAATGAAGTCGGTAAAGCAGGCAGAAGTCCAGAAAATCAGTCAGCAGAGTATCAAAGATCCAGCAGGAAAAAACAAACAGGCAAAATGACCAGATCCTAGGTTTCAGGCAGGGCTGGCTTTGACAGCCTGCTAATTAAATGCAGCTGACCCTAATTGGAAAAGGGTTGCAGGTGGATCAGTACTGCTCATTCATCAAAAAGAGATGATAGGTGGTAAAAATATGAATGATGACTAGGGTATAAACCGGCGTCCCAGATGTGCACACAGGGGTGCCGAGGAATGTTTCTGGGGAAACATTACTGCTGAGCAGGGGCCCGGTCAGGTGCTGCGGTCCTTTAAGACCACGACCGGACCCCCGTAATGTCGGCCAGCTGGGTGGAAAATGACAGCCTGTCACTTCCTTCCAGCATCCTGCAGGGAGGCAGCGCAGGTGGAGGAAGCCGCAGTGAGAGAGGAGCACAAAGAGCTCCAGACCCCTCACTCCCACCAGCAGCAGGACTCTAAGCCATCCTCCTGGCACATAAGGTAAGATGACAGGAGGGTGGCTGGAGATATATAAAAAAATTCACTTGTATTTGTATGAGTGTGTGTATGAGTTTAAGTGTGTGTGTATAAGTTTGTGTATGTGTGAGTGAGGGGTTTTAACCCCTTCAGCCCAGCAGGAGGGGGACCACAAAGGAGGGGGGTACCTAATTTCCCTGGCACTATAGTGCTCCTTTAATCTCTGAACCTAACGGAAGGAAAATGCACATTAAATCAATATACATTTTTACTGCTTCTCTTCTTTTTCCCTCAACTAATTTTTCTGATTTGGTCTGCGAACCAAATGGTGGAAAATGGGTCTCTCAGTGCACTGCAAAATATATAACTAATATTTGGGTTCATTTGAATAATTTCCCTGAATAGTTTTTCATGAACAAGTGTCTGATGACCTGAACAATGTTTACATTTCAGGTTCAAATTATTCGACCAAGTTGAACACATCCACCACGCGCAAGTCTAACACACATTACTCTGCATATGTAGCGGGCAGGAGTCTGGTATTTTCCTTTCCTATAAGTTCAGATGAGGATATTAAACCTTATTATTAATGCTGCTATGTAAAAGAACTGAAGATTGTGGGTCATTGCACCCAGCAGAAAGGGGGATTTTCATTTACTTGCTCATGGCTGAGTGGAAGGACATGCATTGCTTTGACTAACAATAATTCTGTGTTAAGCAGGAAATACGCCTCAATGCCTGGCCAGGATGCTCTAATGATTCTCCATTCTCTGGTTGCCACTCTTGGATACCTGGGAGCTGTGAGCATGAAGTACATTAACGAACATTCTTGTCATGGCTTTCAGCCACACACTATAATTAAGTCAGGACCTGTTTGTAGCTCAAGTCTTCCATGGCAACATTGTCCTCGAGAGAAAGAATTTCTAGTACATTACGAAAAACAAGTTTAGATAAAATGCAACTAACAGCATCAGAATGGTCTGCTGCATAATTGTAGCTGTTGCTGGATTACATGGAAAATGATCTTCAGATGAGGATAGTAGGATTTATAGCTCTACAACAGCTGACTATCCAGTCTTTGATGACCATTCTATGAATATATTGTTTACATTGTCTAAGATCTATGGAATCTGGCAGTAAATATATACAATACACATAATACTACCCTGTATTTTGTTTCTCTCTTCCATCTAGGAGGCACATAACAATCTGTGAACCCCCATAAAGCAGAGTGTCACCCCACGATGGATAGAAGAAAGGAGATACCATGGCGAGGAGCTATATGAAAAAACCTTAAAATAAAAATGCTGGCATATATGTTCTACCTATTTGCCATATAGTGAGGACAATGTAGTAAAGGCACTCAGGGTCTTTTTCAGCCAACAGTTTTATTGGAGAAGAACGCTTGACAAAGATCTGAGTGTGGATCGAAACGTTTCTGTGTTTGCTGTGTTTCTCCAATAAAACTGCTGTTTGAAAGAGACCCTGAGTGTCTAGACAACATTGTCTTCACTATATGGAATGGGGGTCTGCTAGCAGGGTACAGTGCACCAAGGTCTACAAGTGATGAGAGAGCAGATCCCTCTCTTGTTTGCTACCTATTTTTTCAGTCACAATGTGTAAATTAAATGCTAGATTTAGCTATGTGCCAGCATTTCACATTGTGCAATAGGTGTTGTGTTTTAGAACGTATTGCTAGCGCAAAGCTGGGCATTTGTAACAATTTCGCTATAAATGTAATTTCTACATTACTGCTAATTTTCTAAATTTAAATAAAGTTATCTGGGGAAATTTACTAGATGCTAAATCCATACGTTTAACTGGAAGTGTCACATTTCTAGAAATCACAGCAATAAATAAAACGTTGAAAATAACCTTTAACTTGTGCCAGACATTGTTTATGTGATGCTGTTTTCATTGTGTGCATTCTCGAAGTTGACTGCCAGGTACAAAGGATATATCTTAATGACCAGGAACCGAGATGGAGCCGCTCATTTGCATAAACAAAGATATGTTTCTACGTTTCATTTTCTTTTTCACATTTAAAAAACATAATTGTTAAGAAGTTACTCCAAGCACCATAACCACTTATCATGATGTGTGGAGTCTGTAATTCTGGGTTGGCTAATGTCAATTCTGTGCAAGATTGGAATTCTGTGCAAAATTAGCTGTCTGATGTCAGCACACCCTACCCCACCTCCATTCTGCCCATCCTCCTCTTCTGCCCCATCAGGTCAGAATGGGACTTGGCAATGGAATGGGGCGGGGGCGGACCACTTCAAAAAGGGTTACTCTAAACAAAGCCATTGTTCTATGAAACACTGTTTTTTGGTTGGAGTAACCCTTTAAATATAGTGGACAAATAAACAAAGTATTAAAAATCCTGAGAAGCAACAGCCTCCTTTAAAAACCATGAGAAGGAACGTTGTGTTAATCTCCCATTCCAGCAATCTGGGCCCCTGGGTTTAATCTACTCCAGCCCTGGATGATGATCATTTGATAAAACAACCATTTTTACCTCCTGGACTCCTTCACAATGTAAACATTGCATCTCCAGGAATCTCTGCATTTTACTTCTTTATTTTTATCTTTTTCAGGCTCAACTGTTTAAATTTTTACCATAAAACAGGATTGTTATGTAATTATGATACATAGATGCAATACATTTTTATGTCTACTTTTTTTCTCCATCAACATTAAATTAATGCAATGTCATTGTCAAAATTATTAAATCAATTTTACGATGCCGGCATTATAAACTTAAATTTACAATACTTGATTTTGAGATGGGAACCTATCCAAAGAACAGTGAGGGAAAAAAATATTTGATCCACTGCTAAATGTTTGCCCACTGACAAAGAAATGATCAGTTTATAATTTTAATTGTAGCTGTATTTTACCAGTGAGAGACAGAATAACAAAACAAAAAAAAATCCAGAAATACACATGCCAAAAAGGTTATAAATTGATTTGCATGTCAATGAGTGAAATCGGCAAGTTTCTGGCTCCCATGTGTCTTTTATACAAGAAATGAGCTGAGATTAGGATCACTCTCTTAAAGGGAGTGCTCCTAATCTCAGCTCGTTAACTGTATAAAAGACACCTGTAACGGAGCTCCCTGTACTCCGACCGAGTACCCTCCGTTGATGGATGCTCCTAGCGCTTCCTGAGGACTCCAAACACTGCAGCAGACACCACAACCACCGCAGACTCCACAACCGCCGTAGCTTAACTGGAGTCTCACCGTCTTCCTTCCACCCTGGATTAGCTTCTGTCCTCCAGGACCGTGTGGGGAAGACCTCTCCTCCAGGAGAGCGTAACAGGAACAGCTCTTAACAGAGCTAAGTGATTAAAAGCTCAGGGGAGTATGCAGAGCATAGCAATCCCCAGTGTGATATAGCAGTTCCCTCCAATAACGAGACAAGGCTACGTATTGAGGGTCAAGAAGATCTGTTTATTGGCACACAAAGAACCTTCTTTTATGCAGGTTTCCCTGAGATAGGACCACCCACAGGGTTTTACACAACAACCAATAATAAACGTACATTACAGAAACACTCCCAGCAATTACACACAAAAATCCTCCCCTCTGCCTGTGATCTAATTATGGTACACAATGGGTTAACA